TCAAGACTGAGGCCATTATTGATTCTGGTGCTACGGGGATATTCATAGATTTTTCGTTTGTTGAAGCCAATAAAATTCCTTGTCTGAAAAAAAGCATCTTTTGTCTCCATCAGAGTTATTGATGGATCTTTAATCCCGTCTGGTCCCATAAAAAAATTAAACTATTCCTATTTTGACCACTATCAATAATAACCATTCAGAATTTCTTGTTTTCATTATTATAAAATCCCCCCTTTTTCTAATCATTTTAGGAATCAACTGGTTACAAATTCATAATCCCTTCATTCATTGGGCTCCCTTTTCTCTCACCTTTGACTCAGAGTATTGTAAGGACAATAGTGTCTCTCAAATTCCTATATTTCAATTAAGTCACGAAACTAATACCAGAACCATATTCGGATTTTTATGATGTATTTGGTAACAAAAAAGTTGATGCTCTTTCTAGAATTCCTGTTAATCCTTCTCCAAAAGAGAAAACTCTCTCAATGTTATCAAATAGTAAAATAATTGGACTTACAACTACTATATTGGATGAACTGAAACAATTATCTCTCAAAGAACTTGAACTACCTTCTACTCCTTAATTGTTCAAAAAAGATGGAATCTTTTATTTCAAAAACAGAATTTATATTCCTCCAAAACTCCGACATAACCTTTTAAAATTAATTCATGATTCTCCCCTTGCTGGACATCCCAGGATAAAGACAATTTAACTCTCTACTAGACAATATTGGTGGCCTCGTCAAGACAAAACCATTGAAACTTATGTAAAGTCTTGTCCAGTTTGTCAAAGGTCCAAAGCGGAATGTCACCTTCCTTATGGATTATAGACAGGATTACCAGTACCTGGGAGACCTTGGCAATCTATTTCCATGGATTTTATGGTGGAACTCCCTCCTTCTCAGAAATACACCACCATCCTTGTTGTAGTAGACCGTTTCACAAAAATGTCACATTTCATTCCTTTGAAAAAGTTACCCTCATCCTCTGAACTTTCCAAAAATGTTATTGACAATATAATCAAATTACATGGATTCCCTGAAGAAATAATCTCAGACAGAGGTTCTCAATTGACTTCACGTTTTTGGAAGGAAATGTGTTCTTCACTTCAAATCCAATGTAAACTTTCTTCAGCATACCATCCGCAAACAAATGGCCAAACAGAACGAGTCAATGTCTGGAACAATACCTTCGTTGTTACTGTACGTATTTACAAGATGATTGGAGTAACTGGTTACCCATGGCTGAATTTGCCTATAATAATTCCATACATTCAAGCAGCAAAATGACTCCATTCTTTTCAAATTATGGATTCCATCCCTCCTTGTTTCCTGATGATCCCAAGACAACTTCGAATCCAATGGTTTCTATTCAAAATATAGAAATGTCCTCATTGTTTAATCAATTAAAGAAAAACCTTGAAAGTTCTATGATCTTACATAAACGGAATTATGACATTAAAAGGAGACCGCCTCCTAAATATAAAATTGGTGACACTGTTTGGCTATCTTCAAAAAAATATTTCTACTAACTGTCCTTCTAAGAAACTTAGTCCTCTTCCTTGGACCTTTTCAAATTGAATACATTATTAATGAAAATGCTGTGAAATTGAAACTTCCTCCTTCACTTAAACTTCATCCTGTTTTTCATGTTTCCCCTTCAAGTCTTTTCTCCCAGATCCCTTCCATAGGGAACAATTGTCAAAGCCTGACCCCATTGAAGTTGAAGGTGAATTGGAATATGAAATGGAGAGAATTCTTGACTCCAGACTTCATAGAGGTAACTTACAATACCTTATTAGATGGAAGGGTTATGGAGATGAAGATAACACCTGGGAGAATTCCTCTGAAATTCATGCAAAGAAGTTAATGACTGCCTTTCACAAAAGGTACCCTCAGAAACCGAGGTAACAGTACCCGGAGTGTGCTCCTTAGGTGGGGGGTCCTGTCATGCGGTATCTCTTACGGGTTCAGCATTTCCACATTGCGGAGCCGGCCCCGCCCCCTTCTGACGCGGCTATGACAGTACTTAGGGAGACCGCGCCAGGGAGAAGGCGCTTGGTGATTGTGAGACCTACTTCCGGGTATACACGCCGGCACCACAAGCTCTGACAAGCCGTCCCAGCCTTTGAGCCAATGCAAGGATTGCTGCATGCTATAAAGGATTACTGGAGAACGGATACTTTTCTAATTTACAAGTGGACTATAACTCTGAACTCTTGGAGGACAACTCACCTTAACCTTAAGTATATCTTTCAACTATTGTCTGCAATATCATTTATTAATGAACCAATTCCTGCTTGCTTAAATCTTCTCTGCTTCAAGTTACTAATTATATGGAGGACAACTCCCATCATGCTTATTTACTATGAACTGTTACCTGCTTTGCAAATACTCTCTGCTACCTGCTTTACGTTTCTATTGAGGATTATTCACAGTGACCTAAAGAATCTTATTAAAAACTTCTCTGAAGAAATACTTATTAATGAACTTTGTATTGTTTGATAACCTGCACTTTCTTCTTATTGCCTATTTGCAATTCATTTAAGTTTATCAATCATTAAAACTTTGTTTGATTCTCAAATTGCCAGCAATCCTCTCTTTTCTTAAAGCTACAGTATTGAGACTTTAAAGATTCTTTGTTTCTTTACTATTGTAAATAAGGAGTTCTACAAGCTGCAGTTGAGTTCCAATCCAAATAACCCAAGTAGCATAACAGTGTGTCTGGGATGTAGTCTGTGTGTGTGCAGGCTGGGGATGTAGTATATGTCTGTGTGTGCTTGGGATGTAGCGTGTGTCTGTGTGTATGCTGGGGATGTAGATTGCGTCTGTGTGTGCACTGCAGCCAATACAGTTACCTATACACTGTGTCTGTGTATATGCATGTGTGTCAGTGTTTGTATCTGTGTATCTGTATATAAGTCAGTGATTGTATCGGTTTGTCTATGTATCTACATGTGTGGCAGTGTTTGTATATCTGAATGTGTATCAGTGGGTCTGTGCAACTGTATGTGTGTCAGTATACGTATCAAAAACTGCCACAAATGCAGGCACACATAAAGATGTACAGACACACTGATACGCCTGCAGATACACAGACATATAGATACACACTACACATACACAGAGACACATACAAACACACATATACCCACACTACATACAGATATACACACACACACACACACACACACAGATAAAATGCCACCCCTATCAGAGTGACACCTGGAGCCATGGCTCCAGCATGGTCTATGGACGGGCCGGCCCTTGGTTTTCTGTTTGTGGGGACTATGTGTGACCTGTTTGTATAATTTGGATGAGGGGGAAGCTTCTTAGCAGCTCTGTGTATATTCAGCAGTGTGGTTGGCTTCCCTGGGGTACAGTGGGCACCTAGCTGCCCAAGTACAGTCAAGGCCAGGAGCTGTGCTAGCTGCTGCAGGATGCGTTATTCAAGTGCGGATTCATGTTCACAAGTACAACAGTGCTTAAATTAAGGATTGCCCCTCACCACTTACAATCACTAGCAGATATCTCAAGTCCCACTTGGTCTCTTGATAGAC